GGCATCTCATCAATCGGCCTCTCTACCGCCAGATTCCTGCTAAAGTGCCTTGATTGCATAATGTCTATTTGCATAATGTAAATTGCAATCTCCTAGCTCAGGAGGCAGGAATCACAGAACAGCCATTATTTTTTACCACTCCACAAAAATTCCACATTTAGAAAGCAGATTTGCAGCTTGGAAAGCCTGAATCTGAATCCTCCAGAAACGCCATTAAATCACACCAATTAAGCCGGACCAGCGAAAAGCCCCTGTCACTGCTCTCTGCACACTCAAGGACTACCAGCCTAGATGGAGGCCATGAGAACCTGGAGGCTGGGGCCACGGAGCTGGGAGCAAAGCTGGAAGAGGCAGGAAATTCTGTTTTATAAACCTTAGCACACACCCTTCGAGCATAGGTTCCCATCAAGATCTGGTCGAGTGGGGTGGATCGAGTCTGTTGTTTTTACGCTCGTTGCCTGATTTCCTGTGGGCACACTGTCTGACTGTCTGTAGATGCGATCTACGGAGAAGAGAGTACGTGAAGAAGAAACCTCCACCTTTCCCAAAGGTAATGGGAAGATCCAAAGTGTTTCACATGGGGTAAAACATCCACCCTTTTAGTGGTTCTTTAATGACCTTTTCTGTCTCCTTCCAAGTCCCCTCCAGCCCACTGAAAGAAAAAATGAAGACAAACCCTACTCAGGCCAGACTGGCCCTGCTGGTTTCTGAGCTCTTTTTGAGAGCTGTTTCCTTACAGGTCACTGGGGTGAGGGGTGAGTTACAAGGTCTCTGGAAAGGGGGCATTCCCTTGGACAGCCAGCCAGGATCCCAGCTTCTCTGCAGCAGTATACCTGGCTAGTGTTTTGCCTCTTTATTGCTCATTCAATATTCATTTGTCAAAGGGCAAGATGCTAATGTGTATTATTAAAATATCAATAGTTTATGAGTGAACTTTTATGGAGAGTACAGTTAAAGGCAAGATTCTTGACCATCTCTGTCAGAAGCAATGGAAAGGAATAGTCTTTCTTTCCAACTCCACTTTTTATTTATTTACTGGGTGAGTGATGGCTGGAGCCTTAGTGAGTACCTATTGTATGCCAAGAATGGCTCCAGATACGTGCACATGCTGGATCGCAGTGAGTCCTCACAGCAGTCCTGAGAAGTATATACAACCCCATTTCCATTCCAGAGACGAAGAAGCCAAAGGCCAAAGAGATGTGCCCAGGATCACGGGGGAGCTAAGGCTGGGCTTCAAACCTGATCTTTGTACTTCAAATCCAACATTCTTTCCCAAGCTGGAGCCTTGAAAATCTAAATGATCTTTATGTCTGTTTCCATCTGTTTCCTTCACATACCCAAATTAAATGTTAGCTTCCTGACCTAAGTTTCACAAAAGGGGACAGAACAGGAAACCATTCCGTACTTTCACCTAGACTCAACTCTATAAAGTAGGCCCACTTAGATATATCTAAACAAGTTCCCAAAATCTTATCTGCACATTTAGAATCTTAGAAATGAAGGTAACACTGGGGATGATGCCATCAGAATTTCCATTTACAGAGGAGTAAACTGAGTATCACACAAGAGAACAGTATAAGTCTCAAGTATAGAGAATCCTCAGTTGAATTTCAACTCTGTTACTTCCTAGGGTATTCCTCTTGTTCTCTAAGCCTCCTCTCCTCTTCTGTAATAGAGATAATAACAGCATCCCATAACATAGTGTGAGGGTTCAGTGAGAGAACGCACCGTTAAGTGCTTAGCATAATGCCTAGTATGTAGTAAGTGTCCAATAAGTGGAAGAATCCAAGACTCTCCCTCCAAACTCCAGCACTTTTTATCAAGACCAAGTCCCCTCACCCCTCTCGTCCCTGCCCCCTCCCCTTCGGTGTTAGCGATTCTCAGATCTCAGCCCTTTGGGGATACGGGCTGGTTGTTTCTCCTCTTTGGTAGCTTGGGCTTTTTTCTATCCCCTTAAGTCACAACAAGGCACCCAGGACACTCAGATCCTCTTCCAGGATTTAGCTGCATCTGGGTCAGAAAAATGGCAAAGGAAAGAAACTATAGTTCTTGAAGGGCACAGCCTCCCCAGGACATAATATGTGGCAGACGGTAAGGAAGGAGAGCAGGGGATGTGAGGTCAGTGAGGAGGGGCTGCCCCGAATTCCCCAGCTACAGCACAGCCCCTTAGAGCATCTTACATCCTAATCTTTGTGTGAAGCCTACCCCAGCTTGGAAGTCCATGGGGATGGTGGTCCAGGGAGCCCTGGATGTGAATGAAGGACTCAAGGCTTGTGGAGTCCTAGCTCACAGTCTAGGACTCCTCCAGACCTGACACTTGAAGATGTGGGTCACAGACCCAACTCAGTCTTGCTGAGATGGACCCTGAGGTCGAAGTTTCTACCAGCTGCAGGACCTGCTAACATCAGCATGGCCTGCCCAGGAAGGAATCCTTGCCTGGCCTCCGCGGGCCCTTTTGACTCAAACATTCTGTGAATTAAGGGATAGTTTAATTTATCTAAGGCAGGGGATTCTTTAGCCTGTCTTTCTAGGGTGAACAAATCACCCCCAAAGAAGGGTTCCTTTCATTCTTTCTGGAAAATAGATGAGGCTGTGCTATGCCAGACCACTAACTTGATGAGTACTAATTGTGGTAGACTGTATTCTCTAAAGACAACTGCAACAAGATACATCCTATTCCTCATGCTGTTCTTTCAATGTGATGTTGATACTCCTTGGAGAGATGGAGTGGGGGGGGGGTATTTATGTTCCCTTCTCTTAAACCTAGGTGAACCTTTGCAACTGCCTCAGTTGAGAGAATGCAGTGGCTGTGATGCTGCTTGCCTTCGAAGGGCAGGTAATAAAAGGCAACACAGCTTCCACTTGCCTTTTGCTGTCTCTTGAATGCTCACTCTTGGAATCAAGCCGCCATATTGTGAGGAAGCTCAGGCTACATGGAGCTGTCACATGGGTCTGGCCAAGACAGTCCAGCCAATCTCTCAGCCAACAGCTAGCATCAAAGCCCAGAATGATGACAGAACAAGCCTTTGGATGATTCCAGCATCTAGCTTTTGAGCTGCCCCCACTGAGATTCCATGGTGGCACCTCATGGCACAGAAACAAGCTGCCCCACCATGCCCTTTCTGAATTCCTGACCTGCAGAATAAATGATGTTAAGCCATTCTGTTATGGGTGATTTGTTACATAGCCTAGAAATGGGACACCACTGGAATTAACTTGGAATATTTGCTGTTTCCTTCTCAAATCCAGCCCTCACTGGCCTTGTCTCTGAAACTTCAGACTTTTAGACTCTTCCCTCCTCAACTGGTCCCTGTCACCCTGAGCCTGCCTCCCCCTCTGCTCTTCTTCCTTTCACTCCAAAAGGTAGGATCCCCATGTCTGAGGCCACCCTGGTAAACCACTCCCTGAAAGGTCATTTGAATCTTTCCATTTCAGAGCCCTGAGACCTGAAGAAACCTGTGTTTCCTGGTTCCTCTCTGTAGGCCCAAGACTGTGTCCCTGCCAGGGAGCTTTCCTGGGTGTGGTGGCCAGAGTCAAGGTGCCCAGCTGCCCTCAGGGATCGGGGGGATGCGCAGGCCTATTTCCCCCCACGCTCTCAGCTCTCATTAAGGTTCACGCTCAGCTTGCTCCTCATACTTGACTTATGAGGTCCCTCTAACCTCCGATGCAAGGAGACATCGATTCTCACAAAGGTCATTATCTTCTAGTCTGCCCCTCCGCCCACCCCCGCCCTACCTCCTAGGCAGGCTTTCCTGGAACAGGATGGAGGAAGGTACCCTTCCCCCTAAACCCTGGCCTGGAGATCTGACTGCTCCTCAGCAGGGCTGCAGAAGAGGTGCCCTGGGAGCCCAGGCCCGTCAATCACAGAGGCGACCGGCGCTGAATCGCAGGCCATTAGGCGGGAGGGCCGGCGCCCTGCTCACTCACCAGGCAGCCATCGGCAGGATGTTAGCCGATCACAGGGCGGCCATTCTTATGATTTATTCAAATACTCATTACAGTCAATCTATTTTTACACAGAGGTGAAGATGTGCGCTGATAACGGTTAATCATTTATAATTCCATGGACTGGTTGGAAGCCAATGTACTATCAAAGTTGTGGCGGCAGCAGCTCAGCCTCAGGTAGCCCCATAAGGAGGGTGGGGAAACTGCCCACCCAGGGCAACTCAGTCATCCAGGTAACCCTTACTAAAGAGCGAGTAGGCTGAGGGTGCAGTGGGCAGACTGAGAAGTAGGAATCCTGGACTTTACCCGCCAGGAGCTCACGGCCTCGCTGGAGAGGGCATGGTAATGTGACAGCCAGAGGTGGGGACGGACGCAGGGGACACAGGCAGGGGCAGCGTGTGTGAATGCTGCGGAATTTCAGACAGGGAAGAGATCGCTTCCAGCTGGCATTACCAAGGAAGGCTCCATGGAGGAGGCTGGACTTAGGCCGGGTCCCACAGGTGGGCAGACTTTTGCCAAGTGGGGAGAACCAATATGAGCAAATAAGCCTAAGTAAGAGGTCAAGCTTTTACTGGGCTGATGGAAGGGAAGCGGTCAGCAGCATTTCCTTTTCCCTCCCTCATGCCTCCCCAGAAATAACCAGATGTAAAAGCAAGTGCAGGCTATAAACTTGGCCCAGTTTGAGGACTGATGTTGCCACTTCCTCCCCTCACTGCCTCCCAAGCTTAGCCCACAGGCGATAGTGGCTGGGGTCTGGGTCGGCCTTGCAGACTCAACAGCTTCCTTCTCTGGCACTCATGACACATGTAACACATCGAGTCCACCTTAATGCACAATCAATATAGTCTAATTAAATAGGATGTCATATTACAGGGCCTCTTTGTCACATTCAGACATAATCTAATTAGAGCTCCACTGTATTTTATATTCTGACTAGCTCTTTGTTGAGTGTTTCTCTTGCACAATGCATGGCTGTTAAAGATCAGGTTCAGGGCTGGTCTTTAACCCCTAACCTTATTGAGTCAGCATGGAAAACGCCAATCAAAGTTACTTACAGTTCACAGCCCCTTTTCTAGTGAGCGGCATGGAGGATAGAAAGCCTCAGAAGTCCTGCTCCAGACTTCACCTGCCAATGAAAGAAAACATCTTTATAGACTGTGTAAGATGCTGCAGAAGTGAAAGCCAGGGTGGGGATGGGGGTAAACCCAGAGGTGGGTTTGGCTCAGGAAAAAGGTCAGGGCTGGCAGCCATGTGCCCGCAGTGCTGAGTGAGAAAGCTTCCTAGCAAGGGACTCCTGGTGCAAAACCATTATTGTTTAGAGACCTAATCAGGGCAGTGAGAGGTTCACGCCCTCCTCTACCTGCTTGGTGCCTCCATTTCTTAGGACTTGTATTTCCCTTCCCTATAGGACTACCAGAGGAGAGAAAAGGCTCATGGTTGTCAAGTGCCCTGAGCTGACCAAGGTAATAATCATTTATGGGTGCCTCCTACCTATTGGAATACCCCATGCAGGGGAACAGAGCAGAAAGGCTCCTATGAAACTTTGCAATCCAGACAGGGAAGGCTGCAAAAGGCAAGCAAACAACAACACTGACCCTGTTGTCTCCTGCAGGAATATGAAAGTCTTGCTGCAGACGAGAACTTGCAAGTAAAGGTGAAGAGCCCAATAGGGCAGGAAGAAAAATGTGCATGGAGAAGAATGATGGGGCAGGACTGGAAAGATAAAAAAGTCTGCCTGCTTTTAATTCTCTTTCTGGAGTAAAACAATTTTGTAAAAATAAAAATCGTCAACACATATTTATCAGTTGTCTGCTCTGTGATCCACACATGCTGAAGCAGCAGAAATAAAATCTATGGGTTCTGTTATAAAAGCACTGCCTCCACATTGCTGGGGAAGGGAGATCACCCACATAAAAGAACCCCCAATAAGGCCAGACTGTAAACAAAGTTGTGCTAAAGTGTACAGAAGCGATGCCTATTCTCTCTCCACAGAGACACGAAGTCTGCAAGAGTTGCGGCACTCAAGGGGTTTTCATGAGGAGGTGGAATTTGAATGGTGTCTTGGTGGACCGGACAGACAAGAATTGGCTGGTGGGAGGGAGGGAGAGGGCATTCCAAAGAAGGGGGCTATCTGAGCAAGGGCCAAGGGGCAGAAGAGCATGGATGGTCCTGGGATGATGCAGAGACTTGTCTGCCTGAAAGACACTAGAGGAGAGAATAATGCCAGCTCAGCAAGGTGGGGCCAGAGCATTCGGAGGTTTCAGTGTCAGGCAATAGAGGGCAGGCTAGCCTGTGGGATCACAGAGACATGGAAGGTTGTTCAACAAGGACTTGACATAATGTAAACCCTCACATGTCCCTGCCCTCTTTAGTACTTTCCCTTTAATTAAGACAAGCAAGCCTTTTTGGAAGAAGGTGGAATTTCAGTTAGAAGATTCAGGGATGGGGTGTAGTGAGATGTGCTGAGGAAACCAAATTGACTCTCTTGTTCATGATGACTTCCTTGAGGCAAAGGCACTTCCTCCGGGGCTGTCTCCTTACACCTGCATGATCAAGACTCATAGCTCATGGATATGCCTCAGAGGCAGGACCAGACCACTGGACTACAAACCATTGAGGAAAAGGACCATGTCTTCTGCATCTTTATATCCCCAGAACCTAGCAGAGTGCCCAGGATGTGCTGAGTTCTCAATAAATATCTGCTGAAATGTTGAATGGTGGACTCTTATCATTCCAACCAGAGGCCACCACCAGCACCTCAGAACCAACCCTCGCCTGGCAATGGGTTCCAACTTGTATTATTCTAAACTACTTACATATTACTACTGAGCATGATATGAACTTGGCACATGAAGTGTCTCTAGATTGAATTACATGGAGCTGTATGTTCTATCCCTGCCCTCTGGGACTGTCCGTCTGAGACACCTGTGACTTGAAAGAAGATATGGCAGACTTTCCAGGTGCACATGATGCAAAGCTGAGAAAAGCAGCTACTGTGCTGGAGGGATAGATTCAAGATTGTTAGAAAACTTTTAGCAAGCTGAAAGAACAGGCCAAAAGTGAAAAGTCCATTTTTCCTTTACTGGCTTTTATTTCTTTCACAGTAACATCATGACAACTACAAATGAAATAATTTTGAAAATAAAGAAAAAATGCCCATAATCTCATTACTCTAAACCATAAAATTAGTATATCCTTCGTCCACATGCAAACCCACTTTTTTTTTTACAGACTCTTTTGTAGAAAAGATTTGACAGGAATATATATACCAAATCCCACTCTTACATTTAAAACATGTATTGGAAAAAAAAAAAACAGAATGGGGTGACCCAGTTTGAAAAAAAAAAAAAAAAAGACTTGGATTATTTGATTTAAATCCAAGCTCAAAATGAGCCAGGGTGTGATATTGTTGCCAAACTCACTAAATGTGATCATAGCTTGCAGTAATAGCCATATGGTACCCAACTGAGGGTTGAATGATCTCCTCCACTCTGAACTTACCAGTTTGTATTAGTTCTATATGTAGTTTTAGCATATTTTAAGAACTTTGACAATGATAAGTAGAAAAGAGAGGAGAGAGAAGATGTCTAGTGGTTAAATTGTGGGTTAGAAGTCTAGTGGTTCAAAGGATAGGCTCTGGAATCACACTGGACAGGTTTCGATTCTGGTTTGACCATGGGCAAATTACTTAATGCCCCCATGCCTGTTTTTCATCTATAAAATAGGGCTAATGCTAACTCCTCCTCTGAGGGTGGCGGTGAGGATGAATTACTTAATATACTGGAAGGTTCTTAGAACACTGCCTCACACAAAATAAACCCTCGCTGAATGTTAGCTATCTTTCCTGTTGTGGCTGTTTTCAGTATTTATTAGGAGGCCATGAGGCAGAAGATAATGGAGAAAAAACTAGAGATGTATCTTCCTTGTCCCTTTCAACCACTGGTCCTTGCTCTAGTGACTAAAGCAATACAATCCTTCTCCCACATGGTATTCCTCCAAATATTTGAAGAAACTATGTGAGACGGGGACTGTGTTGCTCTAGAGGATAGGATTAGGACTAACTTTAGATGTCAGCGGAAGCCAATCTGCAGTTCAACACAGGAAAGAATTCTCTGGCAATGAGAACCATCCAGAAATGAGCGAGGCTTCCTTGGAAGGTAGTGAACTCCCAACACTGAGAGGAGAATCCTGCACTGGGTGAGAAGCTGCTCAAAGCATGTTTCCCCGATTTGGGTTTCAGCCATCAGTAAAGTGTTGAACAGCATTTGAAGACTGATAGTGTTGACACACTTGTATTTTGATAAAATATTAATAGCATCTTCTCTCACCATCATTTCATGAAATAATTCAACTCCCCCAAAATAAAGAGTGCAAAATCTCACAATAAAGAGCCATCCTTTGAGAAATACAGCATCATTTTTCTCTCTCTCTGCACACGTACACCTGTGTGTGTAGGCACATGCAGTCTCTACACACTGTACTTATGTTTCACTCATCAGTATGCACCACTGAAAAGGTCTTCCTGGACTGGCACTACCCTATGGATGCCTGTTGGGGAACCATCCATGTGCCTGATGTTTTAGGGCCTTCCAAAGCCAGCTGTCTGTGATCCACGCAGGCAAATAATCATGGCGAAGCCTTTCAACTGTGCAATAATGCAACCAGAATTTGAACTCAGGCTTGTCTTACTCATCGTGAAAATAAAATGGAATCATAAATGAGATTGGCAATCCACATTTATAGATATGAGTGAATTTATGAAATGGTAAATGAGGAGGGAGTTGAATGGTCATGCTTATTTGGAAAAGAGGTGGGGAGAGGGATAGAAGAAAGCTTCCCATAGGAGGTAGCGTGATAGAACTTGTCTCTGCATCCTCAAGGATAGCTGTGCAGGCATCTATGAAGCATACCCAGGTAAAGAGGAAGATGAGCTGGGGGTTTAGCAAAGCCATAGGTCTGACACAGAGAGCACCAGACCGGAGGCCAGCCAGACACGGGTGCATGCCCTGACTCTGTTATTAACTTACTGTTTGATCTTGGAAAAGGAACTTTAATCATTGTATGCCTCAGTTTCCTCATCTGCAAAGTGATAGAGTTAAACTACTAGATCTTTGAAAAAAAAAAACTACATCTGACAATCTCTGAGAGTGCCCAAACTAACCCTTCAGGGAGGGCGCTAAGTCTCTTGCTAGCATGGTATATCATTGAGGTTAAGAGTAAAGATGCTGGAGTCAGTTTCGGGTTCAAGCCAGACCCATCATTTACCTAACCCTAGCTTCTATGAACCTCAATTTTCTCATCTTTAAAAGCGTGCTAACAGTAGCACCTTTAAATGAGATGGTGCATGTACAGCATTTTGTGCAATGCCCAGGACATATTAATAACTTAATTAAGAAATGGCTGCAACTGAATAGGAAAAAAAGAGGCAAATCCAGAAGACTGAGGACTTCTGCATTCATCCTGCTGCCCATGACACGTTTTCCCATTCTTTCCCAAGCCAGACATTGGGGATGGGGACCAAATTGTGACAACTCCTTCTTGAACACCAAGAGTCTCTCTGGATGCTCCTGTCCTCTGCAAAGCCTTCTGTAGGCCTATAAGCCAAGCTTCCAAAAGAGAAACAAAACTTGGGTGGAAAAATCTGACTGAGATAGGCCATTCCAGGAGCAAACACCTGATGGACCATTCGTCCCTCCAACAGCATATCTGCAGCTCCCACCATATCTCACTGAGTTCCTGCTGTGTTCCACCTCTATACCCTCATCTCCTGACAACGCTTTGCAGTTGCTTACACTTGTTCCATGAGGTTGTCAGTCAGGCACTGTGAACCCTGACCAGCAGGCTCTAAATGACACAATAGCCGCGTAATTAAATAGATATAATTACCTAGTGCTAACTTCTTGGCTCTGAGACTCTTATGTATCAAGCACTGAGGGTACTACACAGCTTTCCACAAAGCCCAGTGGGCCTGGATGCTAATTCCACACTAGTCCTCAGCCCCGTGGACCACAGGCAGTGCTGGGCACCCAGTTGCAAAGGACCTGGAAAGGGTCCCTCTGTGACACTCCTCAGGCCCTGCCCAGGCCAAGTCTCAACTCTTGGACCTGGACCTGTCAGTATAAGTAT